ACTAAGCAACTCAGTGAGACCCTGTCTGTAAATAAAGTACAAAATAGGGCTGGAGATGTGGCTCAATGGTCGAGTGCCCCTAAGTTCAATCCCCTGTACCAACAAACAAATACTAATTTTGGGGAGGAACTTGGCAACTTGGCAACAGGTTGAAAGGGGTGAGGAAGTGTCCTGAAGATAGTAGCATTTTGTTTCTTTCCTTTCAAACCAGCCTCATCTTCCCTATTTGACCCGATCATCTATCTATATCTGCCCATCCTTTGTTGTTATATAACTATTATTCACTTCATGGAGAAACTGGAGTCACCTCGATGCAATGCCACACACCTGTAGTCCCAGCAATTTGGAAGGCTGAGACAGGAGGACAACAAGTTGGAGGACAGCAAGTCCAAGGACAGCCTAGGCAACTTTGCAAATATCTGTCTCAAAAAAAACCAAAAAAGGGTTAGGGATGTAGTTCCAGGGTAGAGTGCCACTGGGTTGAATCCCTAGTACGACATCAGCAACAAAAACTGAAATTTTATGGCAGCAATGTTCTGTAAAGAATAAAAAGGAAAAAATGTAAATACTTGACATGGCTCAGACAGGCCCCCAGCCTCACCCAAGGTCACAAAGACCCCCCATTCAGAAGGCCAAACATATTCCCAAACTCCAGTGCCAGCTGACCACTGAAATGAGCCTGCAGGTCACTCACTTGCTTCACACCAACACTGATGAGTTCAATGACACAGATAGTGAATACAGTACATTTTTTAATATGAAACAAAATCCAAGATACATTATATGGATTTTAAAAACTGACAATTATACCTCTGAAAATAGAAAGATGTCATCAAACTATTATTTTCATATGAACAAACTGATAAAAGGAACGACTAACCAGATGTGGATTCTTCCCTTTCCCTCTGCTTTCATGGGAAACTCTCTTCATTCAACCACCCCACCACCGACTGATCCAGCCAAATATTTTTCTGATAAAAATCCGAAGCATAATAAATATATCTCTATCAAAAAAGTCAAGCTGACCCCAAGTGTAATGTCCCTGAGGCTCTCACTGCCTCAAAGTAAATGACCTTTTAAAAATGATCTTACAAAGCTGGGTGCTGGGGTGCATGTCTGTAATCCCAGCAGGTCAGGATTTTGAGGCAGGAAGATCCTGAGTTCAAAGTCAACTTCAACAACTTTGTGAGGCCTTATGTAATTTAGAAACCCTGTCTCAAGGGGGGGGGGGCTAGGGATATGGCTACATGATTAAGTACTCCTGAGTTAAATCCCCAGTACTCCCCCTACCCCCAAAATAGCTAGGGTCTTAACCTGATAGACTTAAATACTATCTTATAACTGGGAAATTTTTAAAAATTTATTTTGGAAGTCAAGTCACAGATTCCTTCTCTCCCAGACTTTTGTAAAATATTTCTAATTCATCTTGAAGCAAATAGATTGCCTTTGGCCTAACAAGATCAGGCACATTGGGATGTGATATAAAGCAGAGTATAAATGTATTTGTTTTCTTTTGTTTTCGAACTCTTCCCTGCCTCTAGTAAAATGTCTCTTAATAAGCTGGGCTGAGTGGCACAAGTCTAAAATCCCAGTTTCCTGGAAGGCTAAGGCAGGAGGATGGCAAATAAGACATTAGGCAGGGCAACTTAGACCCTTTATCAAAATAAAATCAAGGATAGAGCTGAGTAGTACTCAGAAAGTGTGGGACCCTGAGTGCAAGCCAGGAACTGCAAAAAATAAAAAAAATTAAAAAAAGGAAAAAGTCTCTGAGTCATGAACTAGTCTGGAGGGCTGACACAGCAATCTGATTCTGCTTGGCCTTGAACTATAAGAAATGTTGTGGGGCTGGGGATGTGGCTCAAGCGGTAGCTCGCTCGCCTGGCATGCGTGCGGCCCAGGTTCAATCCTCAGCACCACATACCAACAAAGATGTTATTTCTGCCAAAAAATAAAAAATAAATATTAAAATTTTCTCTCTCTCTCACTCTCTCAAAAAAAAATGTTGTGAAGATGATAGCTGTAATTAATTCAATATGGAAGTCTAACAAAATTGCTGTCTCACTGAAGAATTTCATTCTTCTCAGTAGTAAATTGGTATTACAAAGTACTCTATCACAAAGTTTTCAATAAAAATTTTTGAAAGAAAAAGCTAATATATGTTAATCTGTAATTTGTTAGAAAATATTTAAGAAACTGTAAAAAAGTAATGCACAAAAATCTGGTTTGAAGAAAATATACATTCATTGCTATATCATGGGCATGGACAAATATGTGAGTGAATTTCACCATTATGTGTAATTATAATGCACCAGTAAAATGGGAAAGATATATCATTCAACTGTGAAAAATATAAAATCCATGTACAATTGTCATTTTTCCCCTGAAAAGAAACATACACATACATATGCCTACCTCTGAGTGTATATATAAATAAAAGGGTATGCATAACCCATTAAGTGAGGCCAGTCAGAAATTTACAGCAATGAACAAAACCTCATTCTTCCCTGGCCCATTAACCATAAGTATTTAAAAACTACATACAAATGAAGCCTAATTGCACCTTAGAAATACACATTGATGGGGCTGGGGTCAATATGTTAGAAGGCTCACTACCTGATTTGATCAAAAATACACTACCTATTAAACTCAGATAGTATAACCTAAACAAAACTCACAGAAGTATTTCACCTGAATCTTTTGGTTACAAGAATCAAAATTAGAATCATGCAGTGCATCCAGGCATGGTGGCACAGGCCTGTAATCCCAGCAGCTCTAGAGGCTCAGTTAGGAGGACCCTGAGTTCAAAGCCAGGCTCAGCAACAGTGGGGTGGTAAAGCAACTCAGTAAGACCCTGTCTCTAAATAAAATACAAAACAGGGCTGGAAATGTGGATCAGTGGTCAAGTGCCCCTGAGTTCAATCCGTGGTACCCCTCACCACCCAAAAAACACGCGCGCGCGCGCGCACACACACACACACACACACACAGTGCAGAGATCTACTTGAAAAATAAATTACTAGTGAACAGAATATAAAACTTGTGGGAAACCTCCAGGTAGTACATTTTCTGGAGACTTCTAAAGAAATTATTTTGCATCAAGCTCTTCATACTCATTACATTTTAGGATTCTGCTACAGGAGGAATTTTCATAGGCCTCTGAAACTATGTTACAACTGACAACTCCCTTCTAAGAATTTTTCACAATCACAGGGTTTTTATTTACTGTGATTTCTTACATGTGAACCAAATGGAGATCATTGCAAATCTCTTCTATTGTAGATTCCACTGCATACCGTGTTCATTTATATAGGTACACTGAACCAATTTGACGAGTTCCCCAGATCCTTTGCAATAATACAAGATATTGCAACTGCATACTCGTGTCTGCTAACAAGTTCACATGATAATAAAGACTTCCTGGGCTGGGGTTGGGGCTCAGCAGTAATGCACTTGCCTGGTATGTGGTTTCTATTTTCAGCACTGCATATAAATAAATAAAATAAAGGTCTATCTACAACTAAAAAAAAAATTTTTTTTTAAAGACTTCCCATTTTTTCTGTATTCTGGGTTACTTTCCAGTGTGTTCTTTCATGTACTTGAAAGAATCGGAGAATAAAGGCTTTCCCACGTGGTTGACATCATTAAGGTTCCTCCTCACTGTGAAGTTTTTCATATTATCAAAGGGAACTGTAAACAGTAAAAGCTTTCTCATATTGCTTGCACTCATGGAGTTTCTCTCAAGTGTGAGTCCCTTGATGTTTGAGAAGGTAACTGGATGGGGTAAAGGCTTCATGGCTTTCTTTCATGTATTTTAGGGGGTACAGGAATTTCTGAAGGCTTTCCCACTGCTCACAAGCATGTTTTCATGCCACTGTGAATTCTTTTATGTTTGCTGAGGGAACTGGGCTCCCCATAGGCTTTGCTTGCATACATAGGGTTTTTCTCCAGTGTGCCTTATTTCATGTATTCTGAGTAAACAGGAATGAAGAAAAGCTTTCCCACATTGTTCACATGTATAGGGCTTCTCTCCACTGTGAATTTGTTCATGTTTTCTTCAGGAGCTGGAAGAACTAAAGCCCTTTCCACATTGCTTACATACATAAGGTTTCTCTCCATTGTGCATTATTTCATGTATTTGAAGGGATCTGGGGAGATGAAGTGTTTTCCCACATCGTTTACATGTATAGGGTTTCTCTTCACTGTGAATTTGTTCATGCTTTCTACAGGAGCTGGAAGAACTAAAGCCTTTTCCACATTGCTTACATACATAGGGTTTCTCCCCATTGTGTGTTATTTCATGCATTTGAAGGGATTTGGGGAAATGAAACACTTTCACACACTGTTTACATGTATATGGTTTCTCTCCACTGTGAATTTGTTCATTGATTTTAATGTAATAGGAAAAACTAAAGCCTTTTCCACATTGCTTACATATGTAGGGTTTCTTTCCACTATGAATTTGTTCATACATTTGAAGGGCACTGACAAAAGTAAAGGATTTCCCACATTGTTTACATATATAGGGTTTCTCTCCACTGTGAATTTGTTCATGGATCTTTATGTAACTAGAAGAACTAAAGCCTTTTCCACATTGCTTACACACATAAGGTTTCTCACCACTGTGAATTTGTTCATGTTTTTTCATGTGGCTGGAAGAATTAAAGCCTTTTCCACATTGCCTATATACATAGGGTTTCTTTCCACTGTGAACTTGCTCATGAATTTGAAGGGAACTGAGAAAAGGAAAGGATTTCCCACACTGTTTACATTTATAAGGTTTCTCTCCACTATGAATTCGTTCATGTGTTTTCATGTGGCTAGAAGTATTAAAGCCTCTTCCACATTGCTTACATACATACGGTTTCTCTCCACTGTGAATTTGTTCATGAATATTAAGGGAACTGAGAAAAGGAAAGGCTTTCCCACATTGTTTACGTTTATAAGGTTTCTGTCCACTATGAATTTGTTCATGTGTTTTCATGTGGCTAGAAGAACTTAAGCCTTTTCCATATTGCTTACACACCTAGGGATTCTTTCCAGTGTGCATTATTTCATGTCTTTTGACTAAATAAGAATGACTGAAAGCTTTCCCACATTCATTACATGTATAGGGTTTCTCTTCATTGTGAATTTGTTCATGTGTTTTCAGGCGGCTGGAAGTGCTAAAGCCTTTTCCACATTGTTTACATACATACAGCTTTTCTCCAGTATGTTTTTTTTCATGTATTCTGAGTGAATCTGAACGACTGAAAGCTTTCCCACATTGTTTACATGTATAGGGCTTCACTGCACTATGAATTTGTTCATGTCTTTTGAGGTACCTGGAAGAAATAAAGGCTTTTCCACACTGCTTACATGCATAGGGTTTCTCTCCACTGTGAATTCGTTCATGGATTTTAAAGAAAAAGGAAGTACTAAAGCCTTTCCCACATTGCTTACATACATAGGATTTCTTTCCACTGTGAATTTGTTCGTGAATTTGAAGAGAACTGAGAAAAGTAAAGGATTTTCCACATTGTTTACATATATAAGGTTTCTCTCCACTGTGAATTCGTTCATGGATTTTAATGTAACTTGAAGAACTAAAGGCTTTTCCACAGTGCTTACACACATGGGGTTTCTTGCCACTGTGAATTTGTTCATGTCTTTTCATGTCACTAGAAGAACCAAAGCTTTTTCCACATTGCTTACACACATAAGGTTTCTCTCCACTGTGAATTCGTTCATGGATTTTAAAGAAAAAGAAAGTTCTAAAGCCTTTTCCACATTGCTTACAAACATAAGGTTTCTTTTCACTGTGAATTTGTTTGTGCGTACGAAGAGAACCAATAAAAGTAAAGGATTTTCCACATTGCTTACATATATAAGGTTTCTCTCCACTGTGAATTCGTTCATGGATTTTAATGTAGCTGGTAGAACTAAAGGCTTTTCCACAGTGCTTACACACATG